TGCGCAATGCACAACGCATCAACGCAAAATCCCGTAGTAGACGGGTAGGGACAACTAAGTGGCAGGCGGGGGACGTGCGGGCACAGGACGCGCGTGTGTGCGTGTATGTGAAGGTCAGCCGGCGGCGTCATTTCCTGGTCATTGCCTGCTGCCGCCGCCGCCGCATCCGACGCGAGCCGGCGCCCGCGCTGCGCCTGCATCGCGGCTCACTCGCGATCTTAGAGACGCACACGCTTTCCGGTCGCACAGGAAAACTAGATGCTATTGTCAGGCGTACTATGGAAGGAAATGAATCTGAAGCTAAAATGTCAGTGCATTTAGCAGCCGACACAGTCCCATCACTGCGCTGATTACCTTATCACTTCCGCCTGAAAAATGAAGCGATAAACAATATTTTTCATAATATTACAAATATGTAGCCACGTTTAACGAGCAGTTGCTTTGAGGAAATGTTCTCAGCTCCACTATCTTATCTTTGTAATTCTTTTATCACAAGCAAAAATAGCAAATTTGCAAACTGATAAATCGTCATAGGTGTTTGTGTATGAGCTGATTGACGTCAGCCGAGTGTACTGCTGTACCAGCAGTTCTCTCACACTTCCTAAACATTATTTCGTGGAGCAGAGTGCACTGAAAGAACTGAAACTCTTGCGTTTGTACAAGCAGAACAGCACAATACTGCTCGGTCAGTGCATGCTCCTTCCAACCAACAATAACTTAACATTCAATTTAGAACGTGTCTATTTGCTCATGCATATGAAATGCACATTAGTTAAAAACTTGTTGAAAGTGCCCGCTTATGAATAGGTACCTCCCAGTTGCCTTCATGGCTGATGCGTTGCAAAACTCTGAAAATGACAGTCCCAAGTGAGAGCAGCAGGAGCGGGCGCGGCTAGTGTTGCGTGTTTGTATCGCAAGAGGTTTGTGGGGTAACCCATTTATCGCGACCGCGGGATGCGCGAGCGCAACCGGTTCCCTCCTCCTCCCGCCTCACCCTGCATCAACCTAAACGTTCGCACACTCGCATCCGGGAGCAAAACAATCCGTCTTCGTCAGAAACTTAGAGAAAAAGGTACCTAGTACAGTGAGAGTAAGGTGCACTTTACATCGGAGGCTATCTTGATAAATTTTCTTTTCGCTTCGAAGGACTGCTAACTAGCAAAGTGAAGATGACATTCTAAGACTGCAACAGGCGCACAAGTCGACGTAACCTTGATCTTGCAGCGCAACCAGTAGGATGCGTCCAGCCGTCCAGCGCATGCGCTATAAATAGACTCGCCGCCGCATAAAATGCGGGTTTTTTACGTGGCGTCTTGTTAGCTTCCCATGCTCGCGAGGGATTTTTATGAGATACGTGTTCGTGGAACGTTAAATTATAAATAACAGGTAAGTATGTTAGCGCAGCACCCGGCGCCCGCGCAGCCGCGCCGCCGCCCTATCTGTACCGTTGTTAGCGGCCTCTCTACTTGTTGTTAAATCTCACATCACTCGTGATTGATCTACGAGATAGTTTTGATCATCACCATTTTTATCGTGTACCATCTTAATGAACTGATACAGCTTTCATTGATTAGTTAAATGAAATGTTTATCTAGTTGAAACGGTCGGCTCCTGGACAAAGACTGGCTGCGGCCGACTACTTGTTCAAGTGTTATTGTCACTTTGATAAATAATCCGCATCATTTAACTTTAATTGAAAGATAAAAGTCACTCGTATCAGGCAAATGTATTTTGATGATTTTCTTTTCACATTATTTTCCTTATTCATATGCTTGCGTCAATCTGTAGAATGTACCCGCCTGTAGTATGGTGAACATTAATAATACCTATATGTAGGTATTTAGTAAGTTGTGCATTTTTATAATTCCATACGTAAAATTACACATGCAATATAGAAAACCACACAAAACTATTTTGAATTCAACTTTGTTTATACAATACTGTAGGTGCCCACTGTGCGTATGTTGTAAAACTATTTGTTATTCAGTTGCTCCAATAGGAATACAACAATGTGTGGGCGTTAGCCAACCCAAGACAGCATCGCATGCGCACCTGTTTTGTCAACTGCGGTGATCTTTAAAAATATAGACCACGGTACTACTCTAGTCTAGACAGTTTGGATGACTAAACTTCCTTAATCTCGCGATCAGAAAACTAAATCGGTAGGTATGGCAACCCTGGTAGCGTGACGATGTGTCCGCCACACGTGTCAGTGCGCAGGGTCAATGACCGCACAGATAAGCCGCGCGAAAATACATACCAGTTAGATAATATTAGAAAATGGCGATTCGCTCCAACCCAACACACACAAGCGACGTTTAAAAATAAATACATAAATGTAACAAGTTTTATCTCAGTCGGCAGCTACTATGCTAAGTTCAAGCGAAACTCGAATCCAGTTGTAAGATGATTATTGAAATAATAAATGTGAAATAGATGCGCATTGTGTAGGTTATCATACATTTCTTCACGCTTCTCTTCGAATAATATTTTTTTCGCAGAAGGAAAACCAACATTTCCATAAAGTTTACCTTTTTATAATTACGTGGTAACGCCAAAACCGCAAAAAAAGTAATGTCAGGATACGACACTTCCTCATAAAAATAAATTAATTGTAAAACCCACTTCCGCCTTGTCTCTGGTGTCATTGAAACGAATTTATTCCCCATGGAAGTTTGACTAACACAACAATATTGTGTTGCACCACTACGGGACCATATTTGAACACTAAAATATTGGTATTCGACATTACATTTAGGGTACTCCCCTAAAATTATGACAGTTATATTATATCATACACAATGTATTAGTATATAATTACCGCAATGTAAATAACCGCAAACTATTTTGTGGTTAGTTACTATTACTAATTCGATGATACGACGCTATCCATACTTCTTCCTGTAAGAAGAAACAGATACAATATACAAACAACATGACATTACACTCATCCACTGTTATAAGAACCACATAAAGAGGGCAAAACGTACCCAAGTATACATTTCATAAAGTTTTCTTAAATTTTCTGGAGCACGTAACTCGACATAATTTACACAACCTTATTACCAGAACAGCAACACACCGCGCTGTAACGACTATAAAATTCACGGAAAACTAGTTGCTAGCTTTTCACTTCCTAAAAACAAGACTAGTGGATTACCCGACTTTGCTGAAGATATTTTAAAACTTCCATACCTTCAGAATTCAGTCCAACAACAACTACGTCTACAACAATCGAATTGCATTGAAAATCACCCAAATCGAAGGCTTCGTGTGTGTGAGAGAACATAATAACATCATAAATATATTAGATATAAATAAGTACCTGGAACAAGCAGACGTAAAGACAGACTGCGATATTGTATATTATGTAGTGGTAACTAAATCATTTCCCACGAATTGGGCTAATCGTACAGCTAAACAACTGTTTTATTGAGCTAGCCAGATGAAATTTATAGCCTCGTCCGTCGGTTTGAAGTTTTTAGATCAAACTCAAGCGGTCGACATATACCTACCTAGTGCAAAACATACTTATGAACATATTTCCTGTAAAGCATTAACTACGTGATGTGCGACGCTGTTATTTAGGAACGACATGCGTACACTAACATCTTGAAAGTCTGTAGGCGATGCCAAGGTCGGTCAAGGTTCGCAATTTCTAGAGTTCTATGATAACTATAAAGTCCGACGCTCGAGGGACGTAATTACTCTTACGTTTTTTATTAAAGAAGACTGCAGTGATGTTACTTGGTAATAAATATTTTGGCAGGCCCTGGCGAGCAATGCGTAACCTCCTCTACATGTGTAGTGTGCATTAGGATTCCTCTAAAACAGAAGCTTATTTTTCTGAGAAGGAAAACGTATCGGCGAGTGCCGAGTGGCCCGGCCACAGGCATTCGGGTCAAGGCGCTGGTGCCGGTGCGTTTGACGCAATCGCGACACTATCAGTGCTATCGTCAAGTAACGCGTTCGCATTGTATGGCGGAGCACGCGCTCCGACCTGGAAAACATCAAGTTTTAGGAAATATTCAGCTCTCTTCTGAGAACTGAGCAAGACGTTGTAGCATCGCCTCTGTGCTGCGGAGGAATAAACTATGCACGCAATACTATTCACTTTCTGCCGCAACTACAACCATTTGCAGAATTATCTCCATGCAAGCATTACAATATCACCCAGTACCTAAGTCACATAATAATAAAAGCGTACCACAACAGATCTATAAATCATCGTAATGTATAAAAATAATTGAATTTGATAAGTTAATTCAGTTGACAGTCGCATCCTATCGAGCCGAGCAATATTATAATTGTTATCACCTGTTGCTACACCATATTGATAGGATATCGTCGTATTAGCTATTGCATTCATTTCTTCACACGATAGATATGTATGTATGTCACTACGATACGATGTTTTTAATCCAATTGAATAGGTCTTCTACGAAATTTACAATAGGTCTTGCGAAACAAGTAAACATTTCTTTAGCAGAGAGTACCCGATTGTGAAATTGTGGTCGATTAGTAGGATCCAAGACCGCAGCTTGTTTACTAAATAACATTGTGCATAGATCAAGTCGGGAACAGGACGTTCTTTCCACACAAACCCTATGTATGAAATTTAAAACAATATAAAATATTGTTATCAAAATACTAGAGTTAGTTTAGACAACAGCGTCCTAATCGCATGAGAGTTGCTCTGTCGTCTAGTCTCACTATTGTTTAGCCACTAGCGTTGGAACTAAATGTTGCATAAACATTAAATTCATTAAATATTGACTCGTCTAACACTAATACATTAATTTTTGGTGAGATTATTTTACAATGTACATGTATAGTACAACAATTGTAAACAAATTAAGTAGCATTCGTTAGGAAGCCTTCGAGGGATCTGCTTTATAGCATGTAATGTTTAAAGTGAAAGTGTCGATATCGTAATTAGGATGTATGTGTACACATTTATTGATGGTTCTAGTAATGACTAAACATCGTTTTGTTTTCAGTGGGCGGCGTGAACGAGCGTGACGCGTACGGCTACGGGTACGGTGGCGGGGGCGGCGGCGCGCACCACTTCGCCGCTCCGGCGCCGCCGCCGCTCCCGCACGACGAGCTCCCCTACTCGGTGTTCGACTTTGGCGACTACCAGCGGCATCATCACCACAACAAGCTCAAGCCCAAGAAGAGGCCGCGCACTGACGCGCCTCCCACGCCTGGCGTAAAGCGCAAGAGTCGCGAGGGCTCAACCACGTACCTCTGGGAGTTCCTGCTCAAGCTGCTGCAAGACAGGGAGTACTGCCCGCGCTTCATCAAGTGGACGAACCGCGAAAAGGGCGTGTTCAAGCTGGTGGACTCGAAGGCGGTGTCGAGGCTGTGGGGGCTGCACAAGAACAAGCCCGATATGAATTACGAGACGATGGGCCGCGCGCTGCGCTACTACTACCAGCGCGGCATCCTGGCCAAAGTAGACGGGCAGCGGCTCGTGTACCAGTTCGTGGACGTGCCCAAGGACATCGTCGAGATCGACTGCTCGCTGGCGTAGACGAATCTCGAGTGACACGCGTGACGGGACCGTGGTGACGTGTGACGTGCGATGAGTGACGCGGCGGCGTGCCGCAGTGCCGCAGTGCCGCAGTGCAGGACACTATCTCATGCGTACCGCCGTGACGCGACGGTGGACGGTGGGCGGTGGAGAGGACGCGTATTCATTTCGTTCTTACATTACAAGTTATCACTAATACTTACAATTCGTCTATTTGTCAAATCATCATGCATTACGTTTTCCAGATCGCTTCTATATAATGTTATTAATATAAATATTACTCTCAAATCGAACTAATATTAACTTATCATTGAATTTAATATTTATACAAAAATAGGAGAGACGAAATTGATTGCTCAAATGTTTATATAGGTACCTATTTTTAGGGGTATTTCAGAAGAGGAACACTAAATTTGCTAGATGTTATATGGGGACGGAGTGAGTTTTGTATAATGTTGAAACGAATTTTTAAATGTTTGTAAATGAAATTTCTATATATTGCATGTTTAAGGTCGATTATACATTGCCTCGGTCGACTGTACGAAATCAGAACTTCCTACCTCAGAACTACGCAAAAGTTACAAATGATTCATATGAATATACAATTTACATTGTTCGAAACAGTTTACAAATCGCAATAAGAATATATATATATAGTCTAAATAAGAGTTTATTATAAAGAAATATTTACGTAAATGTTTATATTACAATATCTTATAGTACCTAATATCCTCAGATGAAATATATTCACTTCTTGGTGCTTTGTATGGCCATCTCATATTTACACATTGTTACAATGGAAGCAACCTCACTGCTGTTGATTTATATATTATGTATATTATATGAACATTTAGTAGTTGTCTATTATCTAGCTGTAATCTGTTTCCCAAGAGCGCGCCCCGAGAGAGCTAGCTAGGGACTAGTGGCTACACGGCCGAGCTCGCTTGGGCCGCGCTCTTACTGTCGCATAGTCTATCTCATTGTTTTAGGTACGTTTCGAAACCGAATTTGGAAATGATATTAGATTGCAAAAATTCATTTACACAAACGTTTTAACGTAATACTACGCATGTACTGATAAACCTACTGCCAACTTTCTGATACAAACTGACATAATGATTAGTTAAGGGATGATTTTTGTGCGTTAGTTGTGTTAATTATAAATATATGTTTACTGTAAGCGAGCTGTTTTAAGTGGACATGTTCTAGTTTATTTCGTTTATTTAAATTTACATTAAGCATGTTGCGAGGGGGTTGCGCGCACTACATCACGACTACAACTACATATCAGACAGAAACAATTATTTACTGTGTATACATATACATCCTGTTTTGTCAGCATATCAAGCCGCTTGTATATATATTGTATTTGTTTAGTTGGACGGCGCGCAGCCTCCATTTTTTGTTACCTGAATAAATATTATTAATAATTAATTACGATTTGTGGTCCAATGTTAAAGAATCATAATACTTTTAACTAGATAGATATAAAAGAAAGATCGATTAAGGTGTAGCCTAGTTCACTTCGACATATAGACAGATATAATTGATATTTCATTCAATGCAAAGACAAATTGATCCTTCTATGTATACAATAAAGCTTGTTTATAATAGTAAATGTACGTAAGCGGAGGAATTGTTAGTTGGCGTCGTGTCAATATAATAATTGTGGACCACACGTGCGCTCCAGCCGCCGCCAGCCGCCGCCAGCCGCGCAGCACTCTTGTTTGCTTCCACTGACTGGGACTACGTAGTTTTGCAATATTTTTATAATGAAAGTAATGGATGTATAGAGTCAGGTGGCAGTGTGCAAGTGTCCGGTCGCCGAGTGTCACGGAGGGCACGTGTGGTCTCGGACTGTGAGGGTCAGAGGAGCCTTAGGAGTGTGAACGTGTCGGGTACGAAGGGTGCTATGTTGAGGGACCGCGCTCGGGTGAGGCTCGCACTCAATACAATAATATATTAGACCAGTCCAACCGATATACAGGTGTTAAACTATATATTAAATAAACCAGTGCGATAAGTGACTTTTGTATAGGTGAAAGATCTCAGTATCCAAACTTCTTCGAACAAAACCAGTGGCCGTTTCATGTGATTGAAAAATAATATATTTTAAAAACTAAATTGTGGAATTTTAATCGTATTTTTATATAGCTAGATGGAATTCTCAATAATTTTCTGTTCGGCACTACTTCTTATGCTTTTGTAAATATAATTATAGGATTTAATTTATTTATTTAGTCTGTCACGCGAGTGGCGCCCCCTGGCGTCGGCGAAGGCATTCAATTCTTTTCCTTTTTAGGAAATTTCGTTCTGTAGGTTACAAATTTTATTGTAAAATATCTTTATTATCTAATAAATTAGTAGGTAATGAATGGACCATGGGATGGAAGGTGAACGCTCTCAGAATTTATAATTCGGCTAGTGTGAGTCTAATCGACAATGTGAGATGCTAGTTACCGGTAGTAGGCAAAATGTTTGAGCAAGCATTTAAAAAAATGCTCGGAGAGTTTAAATAATTTTAGTCGAATTGATGTTGTTGAATTAAAAATCAAAGTTTCTAATTAATAATGTACTTAAATTTTCAATGTAAATTTTAAAGGCACCTTGAAAAAAAAATATTATTAATGAAATTATTTTAAATTGAGCCTAGTCTTAGTATCATAATTTGATTTTAAATTATAATTCAGACGCCGCATTGGTACGAGGCGTCGTCGTAACAGCGGTCTACCTATCGTGACCGCAAATATTTAGCTCGTCAAAATTAATGTAAATACAAAATATATAATGTTAATAATCCAAACGCACACCCTCACGACCCATGAACGACTAGTTATTGGCGTCGCTAGTTAGGTGAAATATGAGAATATTTTGCAAGGAAGCAATGAGAAGGTTAGTGAATTCGGTGATAGAGGGAGAGGGCGCTGCACTCGCTCGTCGGCGGCAGACAGCATAATTACGTGTTTTATCGTTAATTACTATTTCAATGTACGTATTCCTGTTTGTCGATAAATTAATGTCCAATATTCGAATACGTAATTCATTCCGGATGAGAGTGGTGTGTTACATTTGTGTAGACAACGAGTTTTAGGCGAATGATGAACTTTAGTTTCAGCTACTCGCTCATAGATGGCGCTTTCGTTACGCTTTGTCTAACAAAATTTCATGATTATTCTGAGAGTTGCGTGCGATTACAGTGATTTTGCGTTATACTTGCTTTTAGTTTTATGCAGTTAAAGTCCGATATTGTAATGTAATTTTATTTAGTTGTTAATTTTACAAAATACTGTATTTTCTGCCCCCCTAGTTAAGTTATTTTTCTATGTATAGTTAGTTATAAGTGTAAATGAATTAGCACATAAATTTGATGCATGATGATAATGTTAATAAAATATCCACAATAAAATCCAAACTTGTTTGTTATTACGAATCCCTGGGACTGAAATCCCGAAACTGCAGATCGGCTGGCGAACTACTAATCCTCCTACTTTACCGTATGGGTACTTCACGATATAAAAATGTAAACTGTTAGAATATTAGTTAATAAAATAAAAAATGTATTTCCTGAATAAGGCAGAGTTGAATAGAGAATTAATATTTAACGGAAGGTTAAAATGCAGTTGCACACACATTACACTACTTAGCTATTTCCAATAATAACTGGGTATAATTATTCTGTACTCTTCATCTTTTCAAATAACCGTATTGTTTCGGGCAGCACTCGATCGTACTGCCAGAGTCTGTCCGCACATGTAATCATTGCAGCGTGCCTCTGAAGACATTACTGAGACGCTGCAAAAGCGTGGCCAATAGTTGCAGTCTGATTCATCAGTCTAGCAATACCGGAGATCAAGTTCTGAAGACATCCTTTTAGTTTTAATACTGATTATATACCAAAAGTCTTTATCGGTGCTAGTACCAAAAGATATAGAGAAATGGAAATAATTAGAGGAGACCTATGTCGAGAGACAAGCGGTTTTTGGACCAAACGCCGATATACGATGATATAATTAAGTAAGACATGACATTTATAAAATACTAGCGACCCGCCCCGGCTTCGCACGGGTGCAATACTTATGTAAAAATACCTACTACAAAATGTCCTTATACACCACGTTCACAGCTATTTTGTCATTAGACAATACAAGCATGCCTTATAAACGTGCGATCGTTGCAAGTCATGAAGTGCTCTAGGATGAAACGCGGCCATCAACGCCGCAACAAATACGTCCCTGCATTTTAAATTTGTAATATCTTCGGAAATATTCACCTAAACTACATGCTGTAAAAAGCATATTGATCTATGATAAATGCACAATTTATTTAAAGTAGGTACTTAATTGGATAAGGATTAATGTTTAAAATCGCTTCGTAAATAACCATTGATAGTAAAGGATAAAAATGGTTATGGTGGGTTATCCCTAATAGATAGACATATACCATTGCGGACATTTTTGTTGAACTTTTTAATGTGGTCAATACTGTAGTACATTATTTTGGTCTATCTCGTAGGGGACAGCCAGTGTTTTCAATATAAACTCAAAAAAACGTGCTGATTTACGACATCACATTAGAAACTTCTAAATTTATCAGTGTTTCTCAACTAAAAACCCCCATCAAAATCCGTTGCGTAGTTTCAAAGATTTAAGCATACAAAGGGACATATGGACAGAGAAAGCGACTTTGTTTTATACTATGTAGTGATGATTAATAATTTATAATTAACTGATAATGATGTTTGTAAGTTTAAACAGCAATAAATGCGTTTTATTTTATTTTACATACCTAGTGTTACAATTTCGCACAATAATAAAAATGCTGCATCACATACATTTTTCCTATTCGTAGTAAAATAATACTAATTCCTAGTCTTTTATTTAGCCCTGGAGTACTTAGTAAAACAGAATTCATGCTACACTAGTACCATCTGGTGAGCACAAAGACATAACTCTCCAAGTCCAAGGTCCAAGTAATCAAGCAATCTCAAAATCCTTGTATTCAAATCTACAAAATTAAAAGTATATTTGTCTGACGTGTTGCTGTCATGTCAGTTGCTTTGACGTGTATTGCTCAGCTGTCATTTAATAGATTTTGTTTTCCAATTTTCCGATAATGAGAAGGAAAAAGTAATCATTGTTATGTGAAAATCTTACTGTAACATACATTTGTTTATATGTTAACGTGAGAGACAGTTAAAATATCGAAGATGGTTCTTATGACAATGATCGCAAGGGTCGTAGACGGCCTCCCTCTGGCCGCTACTATGCAAGAAGATGAACAGGTAACCAGTTATTTACTATATAATCAACTTATTAATATCCACGTGTAATGTTAAACACATCTTTCCATCTATCTACAAATTTAAATTTGTAATTTGTAGCTTTATTGTATAGTTTGTCTCCTCACCACTGTATTGATCCACGACATATTTTTATTTAATTTATCCACCTTATTATTTTTTATTTTATAATTTAATTTGCTATCGTGGTTCGCAGAGCGGCTGTAATGTACTGGAGTATCAAAATCAGGCTAAAATGCTGTTTAGAAAACTAGGCCCACAATCGCCGACACGTTGCTCCATCGAAACTGGGCCCTATCTCTTCCAGTGAGTCCTATCGCTTTTTATTTTTCAGTTGGTCCCTCAATTTATCGCTTATGTTGTCACCTGTTATACCACTTTCATGCTGATGAAATCATTAATTTCATTAGTGCAATCTTGTTATTTTGTTGCGTTATAAACAAAATGTTAATATTTATATTTTCTAGGCTACAGAGTGGACCTTGGCGACAACTAAGAATAAAATGTAACTTATTTGTGTTAAAACTTTCAGTTATCTTATTGAACACGAGATCTGCTACTTAGTGTTGTGTGAGCGGAACTACAGTAAAAGACTAGCATTTAGTTATCTCGAGGAGATAGCTCAAGAGTTCTACCAACAATACGGCAAGAGGGTATGTATAAATAATATCATAATTATATATAGAACACTAAAAGTAGTCATATCTTCCTACGTATCTCATATGGATACATTGTGTCAGTTATGCAAACAGTAAGTTTAATTAACCTGTCTTAAGCAGACCCTGTATCTTATAAAAATGGTGATTTAAAGTTTTCACTTGATGCCATTTGTTTTTTGTGCTGCACTGACTTATAACAATACTCATTTAATATTCCAACCTAATAATGTACTAGTAACTTCATGTGAGCCTAAACAATTTTAATACTTAACTGTAAACTACCATGCTCTGTTAACAACTTACAAAAACTAAGAGCAGTGAACCATATCAATGTTGTTGTAAAATAGTAATTACTAAAACGGCTTTGCAAAGAATGTTTTATGTATTTTTTTTTCTTTATGAAGAACTATCATAATTACTGTCTTATTTTAATACTACAATGTTACAGGTAAACACAGTCACCCGACCATACACATTCATAGAATTCGACACCTGGATGCAGCGCGCACGGCGGCAGTACGCGGAGGGTGGCGCACGCGCACGACGTGCGGGCGCCGCCGCCCAACTCGGCGGCCAGCTTGGGGACGTGCAGCGCATCATGATGCAAAATATCGACGATGTGCTGCAAAGAGGAGCTATATTATCAGGTAACACCATTAACAGTTCTAAGTGTTAAGTTATCAAGTTGAAAACATGTTAAGTGAGTGGAAATTCAGCTATGGAAGAAACTAATTCATGACTCACTATGACTTGGATAAAAATTAGAGTACTTAAATTTTTGTTATTGTTATCAGTTACAACACTAATATCAGCAATGAGAATGACTAATAAAAAATACATGATACATATACATTTATGCAAATCTTTGATAGATAGTGAAAAACTAGTTTTCACTTTGTAATGAAATTGTTTCAGAACTGGATACCAAGACTCAGAACTTGTCAATGATGTCTTCAAAGTACAAGAAGGACGCGACATACCTGAACACCAAGTCGATGCTTGTCAAGGTGACGGCGGGCGCAGTTATACTGCTAGTGTTCGTCCTATACTTCTGGGTGCTTTAGATTGGTCATTTATTCCTATTACTGTGGTACTACTGTTGTGTACTGCGATATGGGCTACTTTGCAATACCATCAGATAAAATGAGAAGTTATCCTCAATGGAAGCTTGTTCAATATTTTTATCTGTATCACCAACTAAATTATTTAATGTAATGAGAAACTCATTCATTAATCTTTTGACTACCAATCATGTATAGACGACACGCCAAAAAGTGCCCATCAGGCCAGAGTCGCGACTACACGAAACTTACGTAAATAAAGCTTTTTTATATCTTTTGCTAATTATTAACTTGACTCATTCTTATTATTTTACAGGTACCTTTCCTTATATTTCGTGTACATGTACCTATTTACATAATATGACAAAATTTTATACTAATTCTAAAAACTATTTGGATAAATTCTTAGCTTGGCACTGAGGGCATGTCTTTGCTTTAGTCATGTGATGGTCAAAAGGTTAATTACTATACCAAAAAAGACGATTTAGAAACATTATAACTATGGTACTGCAAAGTTCCACAGAAGTTCACTTACAGTGTGACAGCTATGCTGTTATAGTTGAATTGCCTTTTGAAACTATAATAGTACACATTTGGGATATTAAATAAATTATATACCAGCAAGATTTAATATTTTCTATGTGATTACTCTGGATAGTTTTGTAACTAGACATAGCAAGGTATTGTAGGAATAAGAGCCCGTAGCCTTACCTTACTGCAATAACATTTGTATTTGATTCTATTTCTTATTTACATCATAATAATTACTCTTACAGAGATATTTGGTTTATAGAGATGGAGACATGCTCAACATATATTTACACAATGCTGCTTAATTATTGTGAAAGTTATACAACAGATACTACATAAAATAAGCATTCCAGCAAACCATAATACATATTTATCTGGTACATAGTATTGTTACAATGTTTTTGGTATACCATGATAAAATGCTTTAAAGTAAAAGTAATCTTGTCTATGCCAATCATTATTTTTAATGTAATGAGCACATGAGAGTGCTTGGTGATGGAATGTTGTAAATTTTATCACATATTGTTATTTAATGTATTTATTTAAGATTTAATAAATATGCATTCTTTTAACTAGCGCTTTTCATTCACCCAACATGATTCAGCTGTAGTATTTCAAGTGGGATCCTGTTGCTCTTCATGTTCAGGAATACTCTTAGCCAAGTACATGCTGGTGATACTACCTAAGACATTCTTCATTCTAATAGCAGTAGACACAGTGATTACCTGAAAAAATAAATTACTCAAAAATAATTATTGTTGTTTTTCATATATGTGAAAAGTTTAATTTTAAGGCAAGCATAATTCGAAATTATTAGGCTCAACAAGATTGGCAAAATACCTGCAATATTTTTGCAAATATAACAGGTCTGTTCTTCCACAGCAGTGTGCCAAATACTTGCACTGGGTATGGAATCACTGTTGACTGTGGTGAAGACTTCAGGTACACCACGGACACCTGCACCAGAGGCTCTGACTGACCCTCTGCCTCATTCAGCTGAAAAATTAAAACGTACATTTCAAAATGTACTTATATAACAAATAATTACAGATAATGTTAAGATACTGTAAACTTACGTCAGTCAAATAAAAACGTCCATTGATACTTTCTAAAATTCCTATTGTTCTACACTTCATAACTTGATCGCCGAATATATGACATTTCCCTGCTACGTCCTTGAGGTCTATATAAATATAAAAGTCATGCTGAAATAAAATGATAATGCCATTATAGACTTCTATAGAGGTATTTTATTTATTTATAGAAACTTCAACAACTTACACACGGTGCATTCACACAAAAAGGCATTTCCCGATAGGAAATGTTCCTCTCAGAGGCCATCTCTAGTGTTTTTCATTTGCTTTTTTAAAATTTTATTTTCAACATCAAAGTTTGAGTTTTATTCCATTTTATCAGCAATGTTTACATTTCACTTTCAGGTGTACTTCGTGGTTCGCGCTTTCCTGCTGCACTTATGTCAAACTGTCAAAGTAATTTTGCACTTCATGTCAAACTGTGTCAAACGTTCTGTAAGTGCGTGTCAGTGCGTGTGTATACAATTAAAGGTGACTTGTAACTCGTAGGCTTGTGTAGTTCGCGAACGAACTAGTTCAAAAGAGCGCTCCCACATTCAAAATATGCGAACTAGTTCACGTCATTCCCAACTCCTTAGTTCCTTAGTTCGTATAATTCAAAGTAGTATTCTACAAGTACAAGGATTGTGAAGTCGTTTATATGTATAGTCTATGGTGAAGACCGTACTAAAAATACGATAGAACATATGATCTCTATATTTTAACATGAACTTGCATCAAAACTAGGGAGCGATTTGGCTGCCAGTGCCTTCCTAGTTCCTATGCGATTCATTCTGATTCCATTATTCCAACTCCAACTGGGAGTCGGGAGCTGACAAACTAAAAGAGCGAACTAGTTCGATCTGAGTGATCTTAGTCGCTAACTATTAATTACTAGCGACCCGCCCGGCTTCGCACGGGCACGTGCAATATGCATGTATTATACATACAAACCTTCCTTAAGAATCACTCTATCTATTAAAAAAAACCGCATCAAAATCCGTTACGTAGTTTTAAAGATCTAAGCATACATACGGACATACAGCGAAAGCGACTTTGTTTTATACTATGTATTGAAGCACAAGACTAGTAACTCGACGTATCAATCTCGGGAGGTGTACAACTAATTTCCTATAAATTGACCCCCTAGGTCTCTGGTCCGAAAGTGGCTAGTTTCTGAGATATTCAACATTTTCGGTTTTGGTGAAAAAATCCCGATCGAACTATAAAAACATCAATAAATAAAAAACTACTGGTTTCATTTAAGTGATTACACACACCAATAAGCATTAAATTAATACTAATACTTGCAGACATATCATTCATTTTAAAAAAGCAAGTAAATTAGTATCAAATTTTATTTTGAGTCACTAATTTGGCAAATATAGAAAATTGCATTTAGCTTAAAAAAATTGATATTATAGATTATACTAACCGTACAAACTATTAGAAAAACTTCCTTGGTTTATTAGCTATTAAATTATTTATAAAATTCTCAAAAATAAATTAATAACAAAAGTGGTAAGTTAAGTGTAAAAGAAAACACGCAATTTCAAAAACATAATTATTTACAAAATTTTGTTCAATGTGACCTTTCTTAAGATGAATACATGCTCGCACACGCTTCCTTATCTTTGTGACGGTCACTCTTGAACTGAATGAGCGTCTTATTTCTTTGTCACAGATACTGCAAAGCCTGAAGACAGGAGTCCTCAACGAGTGCGTCCTTCCGGTAATGAGATTACATACAGAGCCGAGACGTGGACACTGACAGTTCGACTGATCCACCAATTTTAGGTCGCGCAGCTATGGAGAGGTCTATGCTTTGAGTCTCTTTGAAGGATCGAATCTAAAACGAAGTGATCCGACAGAGAACCAAAGTTATCGACATAGCCTAAAGGATCAGTAAGCTGAAGTGGCTGTGGGCCGGTCACAGTTGTCGGAGAACCGATAACCGTTGGGGTAAACATGTTCTAGAGTGGAGACCGCGTCTAGGCATACGTAGTATTAGAGCGTCCTCCAGCTAAGTGGAGTGACGACATCGGCAAGGTGGAGTAGTTGGATGAAAAAAGTTGAAGACCGAGCTCAGTGGCGTGTCATTGGAGAGGCCTATGTCTAGCCTCTGCTGGACTATGCCCAGCCTCTCGAAATACGAGCTAATGATGATGATACCTACAATTTGTAGGCCCTAGTTCTAGACTGCATCAAACACATACATAATCGATTACCCACAGGTGATCCGTTTGCTCGTTTGCCTTGTTATATTAATAAATCTATGGTTTGCCTCCTATTCCATAAAAAAATCTATGCCTATGTTATAATTTTTTTTTCTTCTTTTGCAATTAAATTATTCTATCTGTCGCCTCGCTGTCACTAACTGTCAAATGTCAATGCGTATCTCTAAGTAGTCTGTGGTCAATGCTTGCTTCCAATGTTTTGTATTTGCCAAATTTCCTGTGTGAGGTATATCAGTGCAATATTCCAACTCTAATATTGTAAAAAAAAATTATTTGTTCTGAAACATGTCTTCTCTTATTGAATTACGTCCTAACCGACGACTTTTGGATCATGATTTTGAAGGTTACAAGCTAAATTTACAAGCTTTACCACATTTTTCTCATGAACTGCTTGTGCCGGTCGACAAAGTGTATCCAGATGAAGTTCAGTACTCGTTTGTCCACGCTAAACTATTCGCACTGCATAATCATTTAGTTTTAGACTATTGGGACTACGTACTGAATTACTATTACATTGACAAACAACAAAAAATACGTCGTGTTTGTTTCGACAACACAAATCAATCGTTCAATAACCAAGTTGTTTACGACGTGCCCGCACATGTTGAGAGGAGGTCCGGCCACTTTAACCTCTGTTTGTCTTTCCCATCAGATAGTGTAGCCGTAGTCAGTGACGGGACAGGATGTTTGCACATAGTTGATACAGGCGCAAGAAATCGCCCCAGTGGTAGAAACCAGACATGGCAAACAGTTCAGTCAAGTCTAGTTCTTGGTGAAGGCAAATATTTTATTATAATGGACTCTAGAATGCAAGAAAAAGACAATGTAGAGACGTTACACTGCCTTCTCCAATCGGTTGAGCAGAATGAGTCACACTTTGACTCTGTACTTACATGGGTTACTTTTGACAAAGAAGACCAAGAGTGGAAGCAGAAGAGTTTCAGACAAGTACAAGGCAAAGGCATTGTGCACTATGCTGCCATAGAAACAAGTTGTACTGCACTGTACATTGCTTCTGACAACATATTTAAGTTCACCTTAGATTCTGAGAAGGAAATTGTTGCACCATCCACAGAGTCACCTCGGACTGTCATCTACACATGGCTCCAGACAACAGAAGATATCACAATTACTTTAAAACTTGAGTCCAACTTTAACAAAACACTTCTGATTGTAAGTGTTACACCATTGCACATAAAGGTGAGCTACGCTGGCAAGACCTTTGTTGATGGAAAACTGAAGCACAAAGTGGACAGTGAACTAACAACATGGAATGTCCAAGACAATGGCCAAGTTGATGTTCTCCTGACCAAATCTGAGAGCATGCTGTGGGAAGACCTGGTTGAGGGTGGAGACCCCAATGGGGAGCAAATTATGGATGCCAGCTTAGTAGAGGAGGCACACAGACGGCTGGCTCATCTGTGTGCTGAAACTGAGGTAATGGCTGACTCTGCTGTACCTGGATTGTCTACACAGGAGTTAGAAGAATGTGATGCAGCATCTGAGGAGGATACAGTTATGGGTAAGGTTCTAATATAATGTGTACCTACTTAATTCAAATATACAATTAATATTACTTTTTTATGTGATGTCTATTTTTCAACAAACCTCTTTCTATTATTGCAGTGAGACTGGATGCAACAACTCACAGTGTGACACACAGAGCACCACTCAGTGTCCATCAATACTTGTTTAGCATCAAAATTGAAACGCAGGAAGTGCCAGCCCTGGCTCTAAGACATGATGTGGACGCCTGCATCTGGCAACCCTATGCACAACTAGTAAACACCGCCACATGGCCAGTGAAGCACCAGGGCTCTCTCAGTGCATTTGGCTATGTGCAATCATCAAAACAAAACAGGAAGTTTGTGACATGCCCTCCTAACTTCTCATACAGTGTTGTGTGTGAAGCTACCAGGCACATATTCATATATCAAACCAATAGTAGCCAAGACTGTCAACTCAGGAAGAGGACCGGAGGCACCATGAGGGCCATAAAAATTGGCCAACAACATGTATTTAATATTGACAAATATGGAGAAGTACTAGGAATCAGTGCCACCAATGAGTATTTATTTATATTAACAGATAACCATTTAGTAGCTATACAAATACAATGAAAAGAATTTCAAAAAATTTAACTTTGTTGTAAATTACTTGTCTTAGTTATAATCTTAACACAATATAATTATATTCTATGAAGAATTAATAAATTTTGTTTGAAACAACACTAACAGAAAGCCCACTATGCATACACAAATAATATCACAGGCTTGCATATGACAGTCATAATCAGTAATTGTTCTGTCTAGTCTAAACATGTTTCTGTACAATTTCTTGCGTAGTTTATCAGTTCCCTTGTGTTTTGTAACTACTGGATGTCCACTTCAGTTTCACTATTATCCTCTATACTCTCCTCTGAGGAGTATCCCGTGGTGAACAGAAGATTCTTTGGTTTCTTCTTTTTTGCTGCTTTTATCTCGTTCTCAATTTCCATCTTCTTCTCCTGGGCTACTTTCTCTGTGAGTAGCTGTCTAGGTCTCTTCCTGAAATGTTCTGTAGTTCCATTTGTGGTGCCTTCAGTTTTGGCTGCATTATCTGGTTTCCCATTGATTAATGATGTAGTGTTTACTTTTTCAGTATTAGTGCCAGATTTTTCTTCGAATTCATCTTCTGTAAAACAATAATCAATTAACAATGAAATCAGTCAATTCTGGAATACAACTAAGGAGTATTTATCCAATCTTGCAATATCTAATGCCGGAATACTGAAACGTTACTCAATTTTAAGTCGTGCTTAAATATCGTGCCATTTCTGTCATTTACAAAGAATTAGTGGAGACAGAACTATACTTAAGTGTGACTTAAAATTGAGTAACGTTTCAGTATTCGGGCATAAGAATGTTTAAGTAAACTTTAAGTAATTCAAGTTTAACTAACTGAAGGCACTGATCAAGTTTCATTTGGAATTTATTTTTTGAATAGTGAGTGACAATACAGTGAGACTGATACAGTTACAAGTAATTTAGTACAAACCTGATGTTATAATCTCGAAGTTGTACGCATGGTCTTTGAGTACAACAAATATAATTGGGAACTCCACTATGCACTTCCCAGACAGGTTTTCAGCCAAAGATTCTGTTGGATCTAGTTCAAAAAACTTCTTACCAGAGCCTTTTACTTTCTCAGCTGTAAAATAAATATAAAATTAAAACAACTATACCTTCAATATAAGTTTAACTATGATTATTTTTATATAATTTACATACCTCTCAGTAATATTTTAACCCCACTAAAGCCCACTGATTTATAGTAAGACAATGCCTTTGATCCCTCAAAAGGCAAGGCATCAGGATTCAGATACTTGTCCAGCAGTTCTGACAGCCTCTTGTGTTCTCCACACCTCTCATCTACAAACTTCAGAGGTTCTGATTCCACATTAGGAAACACCCACTCTACTCTCCAATTGATAATATTCATTTTCTTGTTATACCTAGTGGTATTAACTTTGTGCCTCGAGAAGTTCTGTGCTAAGAATTGTAAAGCTGTACCCCTCTGCCTGGCTGCCATTTTGAGCTTAAATAGATACTGTTGAAGGAAAAATGAATTATGAAGGTTAGTTTACTATATTAATATAGCATGGTAATTTAAATTATTGTAAAAAATACACTTACAATAGGTAATTCCTTGTCAACCCTAGTGTATTTCTTCTTCTCATCTACTTTAACACCATATACAAAACGGGCGCACTCTTCCAGTAGTCTGTAATCACTCAGGAGGTCCATGTCCGTGAAGTCTTTTACCCTAATAAACTTCGTGCGGTCTCTGATGCCATCACATTCCAGCTCCTTTTTATGTATTCTTACACACTGAAGGCAACAAGTCTTTACCTCGCACTTAGGGCAGGTGTACTTAGCTCTGTTTTGACCGCATACTTCGCATTCACCAAGTCTACGAACGAAATTGAAATAGGTTAGAAGTATTAAACTAGAGAATATGTTTTCAGAAAACAAAACTTAATAATTTTCCGTTATTTTCATACCTGTTTACTTCGATCTCACGCTCAGAATCACTATCTGATGATGAAGACATAATTTATGTTAAAACTCAATATTTTCATAAAAACACCACTATTTAATATTTATTGTAAACAACCAAATTGTCAAAGTCAAGCGAGAAGCAAGTTTCACGTTCACGTGGGGAGGAAGGAAACGTTAGTTTGCTGCACAGAATAAAAAAAGTGTTGTTTGATCCATAGATTATTTATACAACGAAATAAAAATTACAACTAAAGACAATGTTTGTGACTAATTTTTTTAATGATATATTTTGTAAATAAAGGACATTGAATAATATTTTGTATCCGTAAGACAAACTTGTTTTTTTATTTACAGATGATAAAAACTTAAATAAAATAAATATTGCTTTTATTATCTACATGCAAGGAAACGTCATTAATATCAAATGTCATTAAAATTTGAAAACATCAAAGAGTAAGTATAACATTTGCGTCTGCATTCGTTTTGTTTGGACTTTTCCATTTTGATCAAAAAAATAAAGACACTCTTTGACTAAACATATAAATAAAAATAATGGGCACAGTGGAATTACTAGGCGATGACTGGGACCTACCTTGTTCAGACGATGAGGTATCTAAAACCGGTATGTTTATTGGCAAAAACTGGATTCCGGAACCAGCTGAACTAGAGGAGCTATACAAAGCTCTGGATAAAACTGGAACATTGCCGTTAGAGTGGAAATGTCCCGGTCGGAGACCACCTTCACCGGCACCTGTTAGTAAAGAAAACCAACCAGAAATTCCAGCGTCGCCGATAAGAGAAGAGAAATCAGATTTCGATTTTATGGATGAAGTGAGTTCGTTGCGATTACGCGTGCGTAGTAAAGGAGAGGACACTTTGAGAGGTTCAGCAAAGAAGAAGACGACATCATTTGATGGCATTCTGTCTAATATGATAAGGCATAAGAGGATTGAACAGATGGAGAAGCAAGCCAACACTTCCCCATCAACACCATCATCCAGTGGCAGTTGATTAGAGGATGCCAGTGATACTAGTGACTAAAGTTGAGCCCAGTGACTGAAAGTGGAAGTGACCTTTAATGGATATAAATACAATACAGCATCTTGCAGTGTTGTATTTTCATTATTGCTGAACACAAACTAATTTTAGTGCATTTCTAACACATAATAAATTAGAATTTATTATATTTGTCAACTACAACAACCATGTTTAATGTGTTGTTTGTATAAACATATGTAAATCTACACAAAACTCACATGTGTTTGCTGTTGTCTCATACAGCAGCAGTCAAGAGGTTGAGGGATTATAATTATTATGATGTATTATCAAATTAAACTGTCAAACACCAAGCGGTCACCGGTGACCGCAACCTATTGTTCTATAATTGTGTCTATAATGATGGTACTCAACGAGTTAAAACAAATTGTAAATTGATTAGTTTAATTATTTACAAACTACTTATTATCTATGCTGTTAATAAAGCAGATTCTGGTTTAATTAGTTGTTCATTTTCATCTAATAGTTCTTGGCATGTATTTATATTGTCAGCTATGTGTTCTAATGTCCAGTGCTTTCGCAATAAAGCGAGGTTCACATCAAATTTGGCTTGTCTTATGCATTGGACCCCTGTGCAGTAGGCTGTAGTCTTTAGCTGCACCCCCAGGTCATGGACTAGTGTCCATAGATATTTGTCATACTCATTGACTGATTGAATTTCTGAAACAAAACATAACCATAAAATAGTATTGAGATATTAAACATTGTAATAGTCAAACTGAAGTTTTTATGTACATGTTATATTCATGTTTTATTTAGGCGTATAAATAAAAGAATTAGTGATTTAGATACACAATTGTATTGCATGGCTATTTTACTATCCACTCACCTAATGTAAAGTTAGGAGGATCAAAGTAGACACACTTGATACCGTAGAGAACTGGTAGTTTATTGTCTGCAGGCCTGATCAGACCTTTAGAGGCCAACTCATATGTAGACTGTAGATCCATCTGGAGCCCTGATTGCCTGCAATAATGCAATAGATAATTATTACATCTGTTTTAATACTCCACTGAGATATTTTTATTCATCAGAATATCTTACTCAAACATGGTCTTCTGGTGGGCAGCCTGCATGTTAGCAACTATCTTATCAATCTTCTCTCTGGTGACATGTCTAAATGTCGCCCTCTCTACTGTCTTGCCATTCCAGAAGTATGTGTCTGTAGCTTTGCCAAGCTGACCGTGGACCTTGTAAGCTCTTGTTGGTTGCCCAGACTTGATTTTGTATGCAAGCCTTGTTCCTTCATTGATTCCTATTACTGAAAGATGTATGCATAATTTTATTTTGTTTTTTAAATAAAATTCAAAAACAGGTAGAAACAACCTTACATAATACACCACTGCTAAATAAACCAAGATGTGATGCCCAAGTGCACCTGAAATCTTCATTAATATATCTCGGGCCACAGACCAGAGGATTATCTGCATAATTTGTTACTAATTTCACCTTCATGGGTTCATTTGTTGGTCCTAAGATTTCTACTCTCTGTTCTAATGGTCTGTCCGGCAAGGCATTCAAATCTGAAACAAATTATATGTCAAGAAATTAATAAAAACTACCCCTTAAACGAATGATTCATTTCATGTTTTATTGTAAACTTAAATGTAAATTATTATGACTTGTTCAAAAGAATGTAAATATAACCTCTGCACAAATTGGTTTTTACTGTATGGAGCACTTGTTTTACAGGTACACATGGTGGCTTGTACACACATATGAGTCCATTTAGGGCTTTATAAGCAGAGGCTGCAGTTTTAAACTTCACCATGGTAATGTTTGTTTACATCTGAAATATTTGAATTTCACAATATTGAGAATGAACCAGGGTGAGTGATCTGTCTGTTTGACATTTTGACAATATATATATAATGACAGTAAAAATTCATGTCACATTGTTGTAATTTTGTCGAGTGTCAACAACAAGATTATTTTATCGTTCAAAATAAAATTTTGACTAAAATTCGTATATTTTCTTTAAAATTAATAATTATAGTATGAGATTGAAATAACAACTGTATTAATAATTATTATTGATGAACATTTCAAATATTCCCAGTAATATAAGGCTTCTCAAAAGAAACAGAAAAAATAGAACTAGATATTTTATTATTGGTCAATTGATTGGCCACTTAGTCATAAAACCACGTTTTACTGTTTTTGTAACTATCCCCAGTTTTACGAATCTAATAGATGAATGAATTTATTATACTGTGGATGTGGTGTCGACAGTTGAGATTTGGTTGGGTTTAATAATCTGTGGTGAAGTGTCGTGCAATGGCCGATTGATGGAGAACAGTTCGTTGGCTATTCATCGCGAAAGCCTACATCCGTGTAGAGTTCGGTTGTGTTTCTTCCAATAAAATATCTTCCATGCCTAATAACAAACGGTAGTGCACATTTTGTGATTATACTGACAGCTTTTAGACAGTGAAATTAAACTTTTGTGTAGGTGTTCACATACCATCAAACTGTCGGTGTTAATTCGTGTGAAACTTGTTTTTGGTAAGTAAAACCCATCGGTGGACTTCAATTTGTATAGATATTATCGTGTGATGGTTGTAGTGGTTACGAAGAAGCAGTCCGTCGTGTAATTCAAGCGTGCCGTGTCAGTGCCAGGTTGTCGCCCGTGCTAGGGAATGTACTAGCATTGTGCCAATTTATTGCGTGTGTCGTTACTGTTTAGTGTTTACTTCCTAATTCATTGGAGCTTTCTGTTTGCTAAGCGCTGAATTGGAAAGTATACATAATCATTAAAATTGCAATAAAGACAACAATTGCACAAGTTATTATTACAGATAAAAAGAAACAAAGATATTAAAAAAATATAATAGCAAAAGTAACCTGTTTGTATTCCAATACAGCTGAACAGCAAATCAATAACTAATAAAAATAATAAGTGAGTCTACTTGATCCATATCTTTGTGAATGAGTGAAGTAATTCTTTTATTTACCGAAAAATAAAATTAAGATTAGCTCTTATTAGTTACTCTGAAAACAGTTGCATGAAACAATGAAAGTAATAATTCTACCTATATGAGATGGTATTGAACTTAACTCTAAAGAAACTCAGCATGGGGATATTTGTATACAGAGGGTTACATAGATAATGTAGTGTCAGCTGATATTGTAAAGGATTTATTAAAACAACCCTGGATATACACAAAAGGTACAAGGTACTACAAAAGGTATGTTGGTATTGTAACTGTAAACTAATTGGAATGTCCTAATCTAGTTCAATAATTCTCTGCCTTTTTTATCATTATCTTTATATCTTGCATTTTGTGTAAAGTACAAATTAATAATATCTTCACATAATGTCAACGATATTGCTAAAGCTTGTAGTGGGTAAGCTGTGTGTGTTCTTAACAATTACATATTCATTCTTACTCTATAAATCTTATTAGAATCAGTATTTAGTTTTGCTAATTCTAACGGACTTAAAAATACAATTGTACTTTCCTTAATATAAAATAAATAATTTCGACTGTTCAATACAATGAAATATTAAAAAAAAACATACTTACTACATTATCTATAATGTCGGTACTCAACGAGTTAATTCAGTACTAACATATACAATTCTTTTATAAACAATGTTTTAAAAAATAACTTGAACTCCTTTATTTTTGAGGTTTATCAATATAGAACTATCTCCTAAATGTAAAAAACACTTTTCTGAAAGCCACATCAAAATCTATTCAGCCAATCGCGAGATAATCGCAAACAAACATACATATGTATATAAGTCAAACTGAGAACCACATTTTTTAATTCTGTTAAAATTCATATCATTAATAAATTGTAGCAACTCTGTAGCTACTATATTATAAATATGTTGGCGTGTTTCATAAAAATTTTCTTAATTTACACAATATCGACATTTTATTTGTGTAATAGCTCAGCTGATGTGAAATGATCACCTTGCGAGGCGCGTGCGCCGCCTACCGTGACGTCACGCGCTGATCCCCGCCCCTTATAATAATAAGAATACTGAGGAGGAGGAGGCTGGCGTTAGGTGGATGGATCAAGGGCCTGATACAGAAGGCAGTTCTCCTAGAAACGGCACGTATCGTGAGGAGGTTTCTGTCTCTGGAGCCCTAACCACCGGTAGCTTGGACCATGCTCCCACTACTGGTCGGCTCCTATTTTTTATATTTTTAAATATTATTTTTATTTTATAAGTAGTGTTTAAAAATGTAATTTATAGAGAATTTTAAATAAATATATGTAGAATACTTAGCCAAATTATCCAAAGATAAGTATAGTATGTATTATTGCAGTTTGCTGAAGTTTAAGTCTAGCCACACTTTGTTCTACATGCATGAATTAAATAGGTAGATGTAGATGTACATCTGTTCATATTTGTCTCGTCGTGTTGCCATCTCAAACATCAAAGCTTGGTGTTTAATAGCAGATGAAAATAAATTGAATTATTGAATTACATCCACCACTACTTTATTCTGTGCCACCATGATGGTCCTCATAGCTGAGAATGAAAACGAAAGGGTTCCTTTTATTGTCGAATATATTGAGGAGTCAGAATATGGTTGTGTAAATACTCCAGGACTGGACTGAAATTATTGTTGAATACATAATAACGCAAATAAGCTGTAAAATGTGTAGTATAGAAGATTAGGCTAAGTTTATATTAATATGACGAATAGGTATGACGTTTTTTAAACGAAATGTAGGAAAAATATGCTTGTTAAGCTAAAAGAATAATAATCGACAGTAATATAATTATAACAGGCCCTTTGAACATCAAAGCGTACAAAAAAACCATTAAGTACTTGTTTGAAGCTTCTGACTATATAGGTAGGTACGATGTAAACACAGAACGCAAGGTAGGTATGGGGTCTTCCGATAGATTACCTACCAGTTTAGAGCCTTGGTAGGTAATGACCGGTATCCGCACTTTATGCTAACTACATAATTCCATCAGATAGATCTGTTAAGCACGCTATACTGTTTTAATCGGGAAATTCGATTTAATAGTTACCAAGGTACTTAATATTCAACTGTGTCGCTCAGTTACTGCTTGTAAAAACAAAGTACGTATTTACAAGGCTGTACAAATTAGTTCTCTCGTCTCGTCTTTACACTCTCGATTCGAATTCCTGCCAAACATTGCGCTTACGCTGCAATTAGCGTCTTTATCTATTTGCTCATGATTTAGACTTTGGGTAATCACATTGCTTATCGTTATGAAGTTAATCCGTGAAGGTGATGGTCAATGTCAAGTTAATAAAAATCGCAATTAGTTTTCCATGGTTTCTTAAAGTTTGTATAATTACAACTTTAAAAAAACATGTTGGATAGTTTCTTTCTATGAGCGCATTGGAAACAAAAGGGCAAAAGTATCAAATTCAACGTTAAACGTTAAAATTAACTGTTTACTCCGATAGAAATACCAGACTGGAGCTCGGTAGAAGAGAAGACATCGAGCGCTCTTCATTTTGTCAAGCATTTTCTAATAACCGGTTTATTGTCGACGCTGTATCTCGGCTCCGGAGTCGGCTACTTCAACGCGAATTTATTGTAAACCTTCTTGCATAGTAAATGTTACACTCAGATCATTATTCCAAAATTAATTATTAAAGATTTGTAAACACTTTTTCTCTAATTTTCCATTACTTTTTCGTAGCTACAGAAATGAAATTGTACTAAACTGAGTTCAGCAAGAAAATTTGAACATATAAGTTTGTAAAATCAAGCACATATCTGGAAACCTTTTAATGCTTCAATTTCAACATATTTAAACTGTCAAACACCAAGCGGTCACCGGTGACCGCAACCTATTGTTCTTTAATTGTGTCTACAAAACCGGTACTCGACGAGTTAAAGTCTTCTAAGCTTCCCTATAAATCCTTATCCCCCTCGACTTGTAATGGTACTTAGGGGAGCTTTAAAACAAGTCGAACTCGATTCAGTGTTCCCACTCGAGTTTCTCGCTGTCGGTTACACGCCACTGGACACAGCGCTCGCCTTCTTTATCCAATACGACACTCGCTGTCTGAGTGGCTAAAATCGCTCTCAAATCAACGGCCATCTCGAAGGTCACCAACGTGTACGGGGAAAACGGTGAGCGAAGGTCGCCATGTTTCATCATTCAAGGCTGCTGATGGACCGCCAGCTCTGCGTATCTGTCATACAAATCAATCTGGGAGTTGTGATCCGATTCTGTAATTGCTCATTTTGCAACTTGACGAACAAGAGTTAGTGTCAACTACGGTCATTGTGTATGCTATTCAACTCTGTTTAATAAAATAATAGATACAATTATTCCAATATACCGTAGACGACCTTCATAATTCGGAGACAAAAGCGAACACTGATGTAAAGTCTCATTCGTTCCGTTCAAACTGTTAATGCTTCCTTGTCATTTGTTATTGGGATGGAAGTGTAGTCGTGACCGTGACGCTTGTTCTATGACTTTCCACATCACATCATTAAATTGAGTATGATCTCCATTGCCATTTTGATTGCTTCCCCGTCTCCAATATTACGTTAACGAGCCGCGATTGTCTGTTTATTGGGTCTCATCAAACGCTGCCACTTACTCGTGCCAGTGTGGCTCCACATGTTTACTTGATAGTATTTGTCTATACAACGAAATGGCCTTCATTGAGGCTTAAACACATTAAAAAATATATTTATTGTCTTAATGATTGTGCGTGAATAATACAATTTATGGTGTACGAGTCTGAGGCACCTGAAGCGTGTAAAGAAAAACTCCCATTTTTCAAACTCCTTGAGAAAGAAATGTACTACGTTTGTTTTGTACGCGATCGATATCAAGTCTTTTTAATGAATTAATGGAACGATTTTGTGCCTAACAGAAATATTTATTACACTCAGTGTTCTCAGCCGGGTGGCGTCTGGGACGGTTGCACAAAACAATACGTATACTAACGATGCTATATATTTCTCGGTTTGAGTGGAGCGGTCACGTTGTTATAACGACTTTTTGTATAATTGCTCGCGCCTGGGAGCGTAACATTGACAGCTCGGTGCTGTGTTTTATGAACAGACGAATTTGTGATGTTTATTGCTTAAACTGAGAGTATAAAACTCGTCCGAGACTCCTATTTAAAGTATATTCTGAATACGATGTTTGATACCGAGATCCGAGATCATTGTTACTACGGTACTACCTATCTACTATGTGCTTACTTACTTAACTTACCTATAATTAATTACAGATGAGTCATTGAACATGATGACGTTATTTATTTACACGTCACAAATGATTACGCTTTGCAACTGGAGTTTCCAGTAAAGCAATCTGACGAACACAATATTAATCCTGGTATGTGTATGAGAGTGCCACGTCACGACCACGACGTGCACCGCCTACTCATCGAGTGAGGTCGTAGGACAACCCGTACACTACCTACTTACCTGCATGCGCGAACAATCAGCTCGTGACTTAATGCTGACCTCACGGCTTTACACCAAAACAGTCAGAATACTGCTATTCCCTTTACCCTTCAATAACAACA